GTTGGGAGGCTCTTGAGTGGCAGGCCCCAGGCAGGTCCAGAAATATCCAGGCATCATCCTTAGGACAGAGCTGAAGTAAAGCCTGCCCTTCACAGACCACCAAGGTCTGCAACTTGACCAATCATCACCTGACAAACTTTCCAACAATCAAAACTGCACTGACTGAAAACCACTGACTTGCATAAGGTGGAATGAGTGTGAACTCGCCTATTTTGTACGTATAAGCATTTCCCACCATGGGCAACTCTGGCCCACGACTCAAGCACTTCAAGCATGTTCCCTGGGCTGCAGTCCTTAAAAAACAAAAAACACATAAAATGCTTTTATTTCACTTCAACCAGTTATTTATGAGACAGGAAAGGTCCCAGGACAGAGCTACAGGACTCAAGTACAGAACTTTGTTGTTCCTGTTGAGGGGAGAGGATGTCCTGAACGAACTCCACACACTCAGGTTTTATGGACTCTACCCCCACCACAGGCCAAAGAGATCCAAGTCACCAAGGACTTCAAATCCCATTATGTTATCACCACCGAAGGGAAGATTGTTGGAAACTAAAGGTGGAGATAAGCACCCAGGTGGAGATAAGCACCCAGGCCTCGGGTGGTTGGTTTTTCTCCGGCCTGCAACATGTTCTTGGGGTCCCAGCTCAGCAGAACTGGTAGGATGCACTCACCAATTTCTCTCTCTCTCTTTCTCCCTGGGTTATTCCTCTCTTCATTTCCCCATTTTTGCAAATAAACCTTTTATTAACCTTTTTGTGTGGGCCTGCAGTTGGGTCTCATAAATTGTTTTCTCTTTTAGCACGCAGGTGAGGACTCACACTCAGGCCAACCCACTTCACATTTGGGCTGCCCTGTAACATTCCCATTGTTTTTCTCAGACTGGTAAGAGGAGGCCAAGTATATCTGACACTAGACCATAAATGCTGCCATCAATGTCCTTGGTCCATAATGGTTTCTGTTTTTTAAAATTTCCCAGCATTGCTGAGCTATCTCTTTGCAACTTCTCAAGTTAGTTTGTTGAAGAAGCTACAGACCTTGAGCCTAAACTGGGTCAGACTGGAGCCCCAGGCACGGTCGCCATGAGATATTCAAATATGAGACGTTCATGAGCCCTGCGTGACCACCGAGCAGCAGCTGACTGATGCTCATACTGGCAACACTCAGAAGGACATATGGGTTTCAGTCAAGTCCACGCTCCTTGCCTTGTGGTGGGATCCCAGGCCCTCCTTGTTCTTGGGGCTACTATCTTGGAACCCAGAGTTCTTGCTGATCAGCTAGGCATACAGTCAGGTAGGAGGCCTCTAACCAAGGACAAAAGTCCCGGTATCAGGAACATACTGGGAAACCAGTGTCTGCTGAAAACAGTAGGCAGGTATTAGAAGACACCCAATATGTTTTATTTTTTTTTAAAGATTTATTTATTTATTTATACAAGCACTGGGTACAGTCAGAAGCACGGGAGGGTGAGGGAATTCACTAGAGCCAGAGTGGGGAACAGAACAGGCAGACTGAGGAAGTACACTGCTGAGGGGATCAGCGGGCAGCAGGAGAGGTCTGCGCACCATGTGGGACCCTCGCTGGTGGCCGGGGATTGAACCAGCGCTGCAGAGGCTGCAGGCAGCTTTGCAGCCCAGCGCTCAACCACTGCACCCTGGGAAGGCCCCAGACAATATGTTTTTTTTTTTCATTTTTCACAAGAAAATATTTATTTATTTATTTATTTATTATTTTTTTTTACCATGTTCTTAGCTTTCATTTTTTTGTGCTTTTTTAAAATTAATATTTTATTTTATATAATTCTTACATCATTTTTCATTTTCACACAATGTATGCATTATCATTTTGGTTATATTCCCCATACAATTGCACCCCCTCCCTTATTTTGACCCTAGTCCTTCCAATCCCCTTTTCTCCCCCCCACGGTAGTGTGTCTCTGGTTTATAGTTGCTTGTTGATTTTGATTTTTACTTTGTATTAATTAGTCTTTTTCCTGGTCCCTTATTTAGGTTTTCTAAATTCCTGCTATGAGTGAGACCAGACAATATGTTTTTTTACCAGCAGGAACAATGGAGGTCCCATGGAATAGCCCCTGGTCTCACCACCCTAGCTTACATCCCCAATAACTGCTTCCCCCATGCATGTACACTCCTTACTTGCCCCACCTTTGTACTTGATGCTAATAAATACAAGACTGCCTGAGGATGGCGGCTGCACATTACTTCCTGGTATAGGCCCTCTAGGCTTCTCAGTGTTCCACAAGGACTTCGAGTAATCTTTTCCCTCATCCCATACCACTGCTGCTACCCTGCGAGGTGACCCCTTCTCAGCCAATAAAGTTTAATTCCTTTGTCCCCAACCGCCAGCCCTACAAAGTACCCTAAAAACCTACAAAGTACCCTAGCCCTGGCCTCTTGGAGAGCCTCTTTGTTTAAGGAGGGCTCCCCGAGGCTCTCTTTCTTGCTCTGTCTCTTTTCAATAAATCTTTCCTTTACCAGCACCTTGAGTTCATCATTCTAATCTTAGTTTTGAGGTACTCAAGGGCCCAGGTTTCTTCCTGGGACTAGGGACATCTGTTTGTCCCGCCCTGCTCTTACCTTCCCCCACCACTACTTTGAGCAATAAGTAACTGTGGCATTAACCTCCTTTAATCCCCAAAACTGCCGATGGGGGAAGATATTTGTACATCATAGGTCTGATAAAAGGCTCATAGCTAAACGATATAAAGAACTCATACAGCCCCAAACAACAAAATAATCCAGTCAAAAAGGAACAGAAGACCTGAATAGACACGTCTTCAAAGAAGACATAGAGATGGCTAACAGGATCATGAAAAAATTATTAACTTCACTTACTAATATGGGAATGCAAATTAAATCCACCATGAAGTATCACCTCACCCTTGTGAAAATGGCTTATATCAAAAAGACTAGAAACAAGTATTGGCAAGGGTGTGAAGAAAAAGGCACTCTTACACACTGTTCACTGGAATGTACATTGATATTGCTTCTAGGGAAAATGGTCTGAAGGTCTCATTGAGAACTAAAAAGAGAAATAAATAATCCAGAAATACCACTTCTAGGTATTTATCAAAGGAATATGAAAACATGAATTAAAAAAGATATATAACATTTTAAGTTCGTAGTGGCATTATTCACAATGTCAAGATATGGAAACAAGTAAAATAGACGTTCAAATGCCTATGGAAGGATGACTGCAGAAAGAAATCATGCCATATATACTCAATAGAATGTGATTCAACTACACATTGGAACTTGAGGTGATTATGGTGAGCCAAATAAGTCAGAAAATGAAAGAAAATTAATGAGTGTTTTCTGTCACATGAGGCTTATGAATAACCAAATAAAAGGAACTAACAAATCCCAACAAAAATCACTTAGACGCTGTGAATTATATGGTGGTTACCAGACAGGCTTGAGAAAGGGATGGGGAAGGTAAAGGGTGTCAATCTGATACTGGCACTAGAACTTTGGTGGTGGGTGATGTGAGGCTTATGCACAGGTAGAGGTGTGGAGCTGTACTCCTCCAAATTTTAGTATTTTAAATTAATAAAATTTAATGAAAGGTATTGCCTATTCAAAAGTAGGCATTCTGGGCTTCCCTGGTGGCACAAGGGGTTAAGCACCACACTACAAAGCAATCCGCAGCCTCTGCAGCATGAGTTCGATCTCCAGCTGGCCAGAGAGAAACACTCATGGCGCAGCAGACCTCTACTGACTCGCCCACTGCTCCCCTCAGCAGTGTATTTCAGTCAGTCTGCCTGTTCTGCTCCCCGCTCTGTCTCTGGTGAATCCTCTCACCCCCGCATCTCTGGCCTGTACCCCAGCTCTTGTGTGCATAAATAAATCTTTTAAAAAAAAACAAAAGTAGGCATTTTAATTTTTAAATGGAAAACAAATTGAATCATAGGGGTGAACTTAACACATTTATCTATACTATACACACACCCAAAGGGTGCCATTACATCAGAAATGTGAGGAACTCTTGGAAGAAAAGCAGATACTATTAGGTTGCTTAGTTCAGAGAACTTTAAACATCTCCAGTAGGAAATCAGATCAAAATTCAGAGAAACTTTAAGGACAGTAAGTGAAACTGCAGTACCTTCCAGGCTCCTTAGTCCCTTGTAAGATAAAGAGTTACAATGTGAACAGCGCATCTGTTTGCTCAGTCCTGCTCTTATCTTCCCCCACCACTACTTTGAGCAATAAATAAGTGTGGCATTAACCTCTTTAATCCCCCAACACTTCCAGCCAAAGACAGTGAATGAATTTAAGACAACAGCAGATCTGCAAAGACAGGAAAAATACATACTCTAGAAAGGAGTAATACGTCTTCCAAGGTCAGAAATGCTTGTTTTGACAACAGGGTGGGTCTCTAAAACCCCATGTCAAGTACCTACAGAGGAGAAGACCAGTGAATAATTGACACACTTTGCACATTTCAAGAAGTGTGAAATGGATATCACACTATATCAGATCAATGTTAATTACCTGGGCTAATCAAATGAGTCATTGATACATAAATATAAGTGAACACAGGTTTGCCAAGTATTTGAAAAAAGTGAAAGAGACGTTCAAGATGAATAAACAACTGTTTCTGGAAAAAGAAAACAAAATCAGGAAACAGAAGAGGATCTGTCAAAAATTGAAATACACATTCTCAGAACTTTGAGGAAAGAAATGGATTTATAAAATAAGAACTGGCAGTTAGAGAAGGGAAATATTAGAGAACAGGATAAAGTTCTACATTAGCAATATTATTGCCAAATTAAAAAATCATTAGATGAGAGATGCTCAGCAGCCCCCCTGTCTCACCCTCCAAGTGCTGAGGTAACTTGGAACACAGGGATCAGCCCTTCAGCCCCTCCCACTCAATGTAAAGGACCCGCCCTCTGCTTGCTCTCAACCAATCCTGTTATAGATTCAGTTCAGCCCCGCCTCCCTTCACCACGCCCCTCAATACTGAGTAAAGCATTCCACCTTCAGCACTTCAACTTCCGGTTCCATTGTGGGGGACATCCGCCATCCAACTGTCACCTAGCCCGGCTGCCAGACTGCCTCTGGCCTCTCTAGTCATCTAATCCTAGAAACTCTCTGAGGACCCAGCCGCCTCAGCCGCCATCCGCGGGTGTTCTATCCACTATGCTGCCAGCCGCGATGAGTGACTCACAAGTGCTCCAGAACTACCACCCCGACTGCGAGGCCGCCATCAACTTCCAGGTCAACCTGGAGCTCTACGCCGCCTACATCTACTTTTCCATGGCTTCGTTCTTCGATCGAGATGATGTGGCCTTGAAACACTTCGCCCAGTACTTTCTGCAGCAGTTCCAGAAGGAGAGGGAGCACGCCGAGAAGCTGATGGAGTACCAAAATCTGCGAGGGGGCCGCATCCGTCTCCATGATTTCCAGAAGCCGGAACGCGAGACCTGGAACAGCGGCTTGAAGGCCATGGAGTGCGCCCTGCACCTGAAGAAGAGCGTTAACCAAAACCTGCTGAATCTGCACCAGCTGGCCACCCAGATGCGAGATGCCCACCTGTGTGACTTCCTGGACCGCCGCCACCTGCATGAGCAAGTTGTAGCCATCAAAGAGGCCGCGGACCATCTGACCAACCTGCGGAAGATGGGGGCTTCGGAATCCCTCATGGCAGAGTACTTCTTTGACAAGCTCTCCCTGAGTGACACCGACAAGCACTGAGACTGGACTGTCTGGCCCGTAGCACGGGGAGCCTGATGCCTTCCCCCGGCTCACCATCTGGTGCATGCATTTTGCAATATTGCCTTTCAGAAAGTTCATTTCAGTTTTTTTTGTTTTCTTTTTTCTTCCCTTCTTTCAGTTTTACCAGTTTCCCAGTAAAGTTATTGGTTCTTAAATAAAGTTCTCTGTTTTATGTGTATGTGCAAAACTCTTACCTTTTATATTTTAAAACAGGTACCCAGGAAACTTTCCACCTACCCAAGCCCCATCCTCATGCTGCTCTGGGTCTCTAGGGGTGCAGGGAGAAGGGACCCTGGAAATCACAAAGTTAACTTTCCCCTTACAAACAATGTGGGAGTGGGGAGGGTGGGTGGGTGGGTGGGTGGTCTGGGGTCCTGGTACCTTGCATGCATATTGATGGTAAAAGTATACCAAAAAGCTATAGTATAGAATTCATAGTGCTGCCTCTAATGATGATGAATGGGATTGAACAGGGATTAAAATAAAGGGAGTCTTCAACTTTACCTGAAAACTTTTAGTTTATTAAAATAAGCAAATGTTAAAATTTGTTAAGTCTGACTGGCAACATGGGGTTCCTAGAGTGGATATGACAGAGTAAACATCTCTTTGACAAGATCACCCTGGCAACAGTGATAATGGTAACAGAGCCTTCCCAGAGATAAGGGAGTGACTACATAGGTCACCCAAATATGTTTTATTTCCATCAATTGCACTAATTCTTCCATTAAGGTAACATGGTATCCCACGGGATTAAGCACAGCATTGGGAAGCTATCGGCAGCCTCTGCGGCACAAGTTCAATCCCCAGCCCGCCAGGGAGCTACCCACATGGCACAACAGACCTCTCCTGTCTTGCCCGCTGCTCCCCTCAGCAGTGTATTTCAGTCGCTCTGCCTGTTCTGTTCCCTGCTCTGTCTTTGGTGGATTCTCTCACCCCCCTGCACCTCTGGCCTGTACCCCAGTTCTTGTACGCATTAATAAATAAATCTTTAAAAAATAAAAAAAAAATAAAGAGATTGCTATATCTGTTTAAAAAATCAGGATTTTTACATTGATAGAATATTTTCTAATTATATGAAATGATCTAATATCCCTATCTGAATTGCACAGTCATTCTAATAATGTCCTTTATAGCATTTTTTTTTGTTTCCTCTCCAACTTCTAATTCAGGCATCAACTGTGTCTTGGGAGCCCTCACGTGGGGATCCATTTGCAGCTTCTAAACCTGGCTAAATAAGCCACAACTTTCCAGGCATCTGTGAGTATCTCATGATGAGAAAGAAAGGTCTAGAAAATGCAGGCGGTATTGGGAGTGGGGTAGAAGGCCAACTCAGGACCAACAAAGGTTGTCACCAAAAAGGAAATTAAGCCTACCCTTTCTGAACTCTCCATGATTCTCAAAAATAGAAGAACATCCAAACCGAAACTCATTGGGGGGAAACCAGATAAACTGCACTAAGACAGGCAGAAAGAAACGTGTGCGCTCCGAGGTGAACTCCTGCACATTTGGCTTGATTTTTGACGGGGGTGTGCAAAGCCTTGCATTTCAAACACAGCCACATGGCTCTCGCCTTAAACGATAACAATTCCCGAAAATAGCCGACGTGTTACTCCAGAGCCCGAGTTTTGTCCAGGGGCGGCGGGAGAGGGCGCGGGAAGTCGCCGTGGGCTCGGGGGCCGGGCGGGGCGGGGACCCGGGAGGCGGCCGGGGCGCGGGGCGCGGGCCGGGGCGCGGGGGGCGCGGGCGCGCCGGCGGGGCAGGGGGCGCGCGCGGGGGCCCTCACCGCTGCTGAGCGTGGACTCGCAGTGCCAGATGTCCAGGCTGGCGGGCTTGCGGCAGGACTCCCACAGGGACAGGTAGTACTGGTGGTCGGCCGTGACCCACGCCGGGCTCAGCACGGCCCCCAGGTCCAGGCACAGCGCCAGGAAGATGCACACCAACCCGACCAGCTTCAGCGGGGTCAGCACCGACACGCGCACCTCCTCCATGCCGCTGCCCGCCGAAGCCATGCCCCGGGCGCCGCAGTCGGCCCGGCCCGCCCCGCCGAGAGCAGGACGCCGGGCGGGTCCGGAGAGCCGGGAACCCGACCTCCTCGGGAGGGAGGCGGCCGATCTGGCGCACGGGGACGCGGAGACTTGCTCCTTGGGTGCAGCTCCTCGGGGCTGCATGCGCCTCCGGCCGGCACCGATGGTCTGCAGCCGAAGGCGGGAGGAGCAGTGGACCTTTGCCGCCAGCCCCGGTGGGGCGCTCAGCTCCAGCTGTGCACACTTTGCCAGCGCGCTCCGCCCCGGCCCCTCCCCGGGCAGCGGGAGGCAGCAGCGCACAAAGCTGGAAGGGACCCGCGGGTGTGTAAGCACCCCGGGGCACCAGACTCCAGATCTGCTGCTACAGCCTGGCCACTGCTCCGTGCTGACAGGAGCGGCTTTCTCATTCCCCCTTCCCGACCGGACCGGACAATTCCTCGAAGGTGCCTTCGCTCAATCCCTGAGCAGGGAGCCACTTTCCCTCTCTCCTAAGTGGAATCATATAATTGTTCTTCTGTGTTCGGCTTGCTTCACTTAGCATAATGCTTTCAAGGTTCATTCATTTTGCAGCTGAATCAGATTTCCATACCTTTTTAAGGATGAAAAATATTCATATATACATGCATAGATATGCATATATATTATCATTAAACCGATCGTGAGAGTTAACTCCATCTACTGCTCTAAGTAAGAATGGTGGCAGGCCATGGCATTCAAGATAGAAACAATACCCAGGATTCCACAGTTTTGCCTTGCTTAAGAGCTACGCCAGTGAGTTCAGCATTTGAGGGCATCTCCCATCTCCCCAATAAACTGGGGGCAAAAGCTATTATGCGTGAAGACCAGATAAATGGAAAATGGAGGGAAAGTGAAAGATAAGTTTAAAGAAAAATTATAGGGCCTCCCCTGGTTGGGCAGGCGGTTGAGCGCCGTGCTGTAAAGCGGTCCGCAGCTTCTGCAGCGCCAGTTCGATCCCGACCTGCGGGCGAGGGTCCCACATGGCGGGGTAGACCTCTACTGCCACCCGCTGCTCCCCTCAGCAGTGTACTTCGTCAGTCTGCCTGTTCTGTTCCCGTCTCTGTCTCTGGTGAATCCTCTTACCCTCCCACACATCTGGCCTGTACCTTGGTTCTTGCATAAAATAAATAAATCTTTTAAAAAAATTATAAAAGCTCAACTTATACTAATAGTTGCTATTTTGTATAAAAACCAAAAAAAGTTAATGAGTATTAGTTGACAAGACAGAAAGTCAAGTGGTAACCCTTGCAAGAAACATTTTTTTCATAACTAGCATAGTAGAAGGGTGATTCACACCGGATTTCTATGTTGGCTATCACTTTGGAGTGAAATAAGTGAAGCTGTGATTTCTAACACTTCATTATTACTTAGCAAGATATCACAAATTTTGATAAAACAAGAAAGATAAAGCAGAATCATACATTCAGAGATGTATAGTTCCCTCAATATATTCTTCTCTTCAGGACCTACTGAAATGATTTTTTAGTGGCTTAAATGTTTTTGCCAATTCATTGTAACTTTCATTTCATTCTTTAAACACTCTTTCACTCTTATGTTTTAATATTTTTTGTGTCTCAGTGGGGGAAGGGGCATATGTTTTCTATAAATTGAGTTGATATGCACTGCTGATGCTCATGATTGTCCTAGTATGCCTTGTGAAATTTTCTTATTTTAGAGACAGGTTTCATTTTAAGAAAGCAAGATGCTCACATAGAAAAGGCAAGTCTGGTTTCCTTTTGTTGCCTAAGTTTCTGATTTCATTGCAAAATAAGATGAGAAAATTTAAAAATTAAAGTTGCACTATTCTGTTTCTGGACTCTGTCTAGTATCTGTTCCATGGACTTACTACCTATTGCTGGCTCAATACAAGCCTGTTTTAAATACCATACTCTCTTTTGATGTATGATATTGTACATACACACTACTTGAGATTTTCCCCCCAAATATCATTGATTATTCTTATACAATTTTGCCTCCATATGAACAAAATCACTGTCAATTTTCATAACCATTCTATTTAAATTAAAAAGAAAATTAAAGCTATGCTTTAACCTATTAAAACAATCTATTGAATCTATTAATATAAATTAAAATAGCAATGATTTAAAAGGGCATGTTTTAGTTGTTGCTAATTTGCTACAAAATACTTTCAGTTACTCAACCCTTATACATGCATTTAGGATATTTCAAATTATTGGTATTTTCCTATTTTCATTTTTCAGTGGTTACTCCTAAGCTCCTACACGAAAGCAGGAGGTAGGGAGAGCGGGAGGAGAGTAAGAGAGATAAAAAATATAAATAAAGACGGCATTTCTTAACAAAGTAGAGTTGGCCAATGAACAACATGGGGTTGAACTGCATGGGTCCACTTACACGTGAACAAACAGCACAACAGAGGGATTAACAAATGACTACTTAACGGAGATCAGTGTTCCCAAACCAGTGCCAGACGATGCAGAAGACATAGAAGAAGCAGCTCCAGAAAACAAACTGACATTGGACAATCTAGCAGAAGGATTCCTGTATTCAAGACCACTTTTGACTTCTTTTAGGACATGGGCCCTTTTGTGATATGGGCACTGAAACTAAGACAAATAGTGGAAGAATTAGTACCATACAGAAACATTTTTTAAGGCAATAATAAAGCAAAAATTCTTCCCCTTCATCTTCTCCATTTCTTCCACTTCTTTTTTTTTTTTTAAGATTTATTTATTTATACAAGCACTGGGTACAGTCAGAAGTGCGGGAGGGTGAGAGAATTCACCAGAGCCAGAATGGGGAGCAAAACAGGCAGAAGGACCGAAGTACACTGCTGAGGGGAGCAGTGGGCGGCAGGAGAGGTCTGTGCGCCATGTGGGACCCTCCCCAGCGGCCAGGGATGGAACCAGCGCTGCAGAGGCTGCAGGCAGCTTTGCAGCCCAGCGCTCAACCCCTGCGCCACCAGGGGAGGCCCATTTCTTCCACTTCTGAGACAGTAAGAACAACCTTTCTTCCTCCTCTTCCTCACCGTATTCAAAATGAAAACATGGAAGATGAAGATCTTTTCTTTCTTTCTAAAAAAGATTTATTTTTTATTTATTTATGCATACAAGAACTGGAAGTTCTAAATGATGATCAACTTCTACTTGATGAACAGTAAACTGTCCACAGTAAACTGATAATTGTTGATGTTATGAGTAAGTCTTCTGGTCAATAGCAGGCTATTTATTAGTAGTTAAGTTTTGGGAGAATCAAAAGTTATATTGGGATGTTTGGCTGCTGGGTGAGGGGGGTGTTGATGCCCCTGATCTCCCACCCCTGCATTGCTCAAAGGTCAACTGTGCACGACTTACTTTTTATCATTTTAGAAACATCACTCATGTTACTGCTTTTTCTGTTGTCATATTTAGTCTCTCACATAATCTACACACAAACTCATTTTCAAAAAGAAAGCAGTGACTCAAAATTTTTGAAAACGCATACACCTTATTCAACCTTACCTTTCCCTTGTCATTAATAATTGTCTTTCTCCCCACCTCGAAATTTAATCTTTCAGATTTAGCAATAGTTAGAAAAAAACTCACATCAAGCTGACATTGTGCAAAGCATGATCTCAATAATTAAACAAAAAAAAATGTATATTAACCAGGGATGAATGAAGACATCTGGCGTGTGAATTTTTGAAAATTTTTTTTATTATAATCAATTTAGAAATGACATTATTCTTGGCCATCTGCTATGTGTCAAAATAATCTTATTTTATAGAAGTGGCCTTTTGTTAACTAAGGAGCTTAGACTCGTATGGTCTAAAGATAAAAGATATGCAAAGCTCTTTGTTAAGTGCACTATAAATATGATTTCCTCTAACACCTGTCCAGGGAATATAAGGGATTCCCTGTTCCAGAGCACTCCTTCTGTGGGCACCGTTATTATCACCACTGCACTAGGAGAGATTGAAGTCCTAGAAGATTAAGTCAGACATAAAACATTTTGGGCCACTGGTGCTTTCCATTTCATATTTCTTTGTGTGTGTGTGTGTGTGTGTAGAATAACTGGGGTACAGGCCACAGCTGCAGGGAGTGAGAATATTCACCAGAAACAGAGCAGAGAGCAGAGCAGGCAACTTTACTGAAATATACTGCTAAGGGGAGCAGCAGGGAAAATAGGAGAGGTCTGCTGTGCCATATGTGGGTCAGCTGCTTGGCCGGGGATCGAACTCAGGCGGTAGAGGTGATAGCGCTGAGACTTAAGCCCTAGGCCAGCAAGGAGGTCTCATTTCATACTTCTTTCATACTGCAATACTTTATATGTCATTTAATATATCATGCGTTCATTTAACAAACCTATGTCTACTCAACCAATTCACGAAATTAACCAGTGCTCTGCACTGTCTCTGTAAAGCAAGCCAACTAATGACCAGGGTACATTCAAGACTCAGGGCTAGTAAACCGCTCTATTGTAAGCCCAATCCCCCTGGAGATGAATGTCTAACAAGAACGATATGTGCTTGTTATGATATTTGTTTACAGTACTTGTACATGTTCTGATAAGTTCATAATTTAATTTTTGAAAGCAATGGAAACAATTTAAGATACAGTAACTTAATGAAAACTAAGGTGGATACTTTTGTATGATTCCATGAAGGTGAGACAACTTTAAAAAATTGTGAAATTAAATGTGGGAAAAGCAATGGTAAACCTTATGTGGGAAAAAAAAAAAGCAATGGTAAATCTTGTATATATATCTGAGGTCTTTTCTACTTAAATTGAATGGAATAGGAAATCTGACTATATCTTTATCTACTAAAGAAATTGAATCAATAATTAGTAAATTTCTAAGATATAAAGCACCAGGGTACACTGGTGAATTTTAACAAATATTTAAAAAATATTTGTTAAATATTTAAAAAATATATTGATTTTTCTATAATCACCTCACCTCTGTGAGAATTGCCTATATCCAACAGACTGGGTACAACAAATGTTGGCAAGAATGTGGAGAA